CGTTGCATAAACAATCTAAGCAACTACCGGATTGAACCGGAAATCACTGGTTTCGGTGATTTCCGGAGTCGGACCCTTTTGAAAATGTGCGGGATAGGATTGTAGATGTACCGGATCAGGTTGAATTACGAATAATGTGCGTGTAAATGTAATACAAAATTTTGTAAACCCGTATAATATAAATTATGGTCTCTATAGAATTGATTAAATAATTGATCAGCAATTTGACTTGTTGCCTTACCAAATGTTGGTTGACTATGTAATAAACGAATGGCACAAATAAATAATGATAAATGTGATAATTGTTGATTTGATAAAAATGGTTCTAAATTTGGTAATATACCATAAAATAACATGTTTCGTAATTCTGTTGCTTTGACATAAGCAAAGTTCGATACAGCTCTCATTTTTCTATTGAAAAAATGAGGAAATTGCTGTTGTTTCAATTGTTCATCTAACTGCGTACGTTGAATCGGTATTAATTGATGATAAATAGACAAAATGATTGTTTTTGCAAGTCCAAGTAATGTGACATGTAAATAGTCAATAATAATGGCTTGTGGTAATGGTACATCTAATAAATTTTCTAATATACTTTTACCTAAGTGACCATAAATATTTGTTTGTTTTTGTTCAGCTTTAACAGATTCTTCTGAATATTGTTTTGTACCACGCATTACTAATTGTTGTTGATGATAATATTGGCGTTTATTACCAATATGTTCACCTTTTAGATAACAAAACCAACAACAACAATAACCACCATGACCAATAAAATTTAATATTAATTTTAATGCTGGACAATCGCCGGTAATACCATATATTTTTAATTTATAATTCAAGCGATAATTATTTTGTTTCACAACAATATCTACAATAGGAAATAGAACGATGGGAGATTAAAAAAGAACGAGGAAGGAAATGAGGATATCTGATATTCTCTGACGTCTTTTTCGATTGATACCTACACAGTGAAATAAAAATCAGGCTGATTTTTTTCACTTGGTAACCTTGTACCTTCGTACATTAGAAATAGAGGCGTTAAAAGACTATATTTCTAATGTACGGTGTCTGAGGAGGGAAATTAAGAGAGAGAGAGTAGAGTGGAAAGTGTTCTTTTTCCTTACGAGGCGTTAAAAGACTAAGAAGGAAAAAGAACACCTTCCACTCTACTCTCTCTCTCTCTTAATTTCCCTCCTTAGACTTTTTTCATCTATATAATAAACGCCAACAATCAGTAAGTTATTTTGTTCAATATTTATTTGATTATCCTGAAAAATATCATTTTGGAATTATTTTACATGTAATGGTGAATCATCTGCTGTTATTGAACATTATCCCGTTAAAGATTTCTATAGTAATTACTTCAAACCATCTTCATATTATCGTTTATTGAAAAAATCATTAGATTCTTTTTTTTTCGTATTAGATAATCGTCCTAATGGAACAAATCTTGTACCAACAGAATCTATATTAAAACATTGTATTGTTTTTAAAAAACGTAATTCTTTTTTTGTTACACCTATTTCGTCATATGATGAACATGATTAAATATTTTTACGTATAGTATTTTTTTGTCTTTACTCTTTTACTTTTTCTATGTGTATCTCGACTGATTCGCTTTTAGGTGATACTCAATCCTTATACAACTCGCGATAAAAGTAGAAATGAGATGGTGTTTGTAACGAACCACTATAAATGATGATAAAATGACTAAAGAATGATCATAAGTGGACCGTTAATGATCTTCATAATTTCAGGAAATTTCACTTCGTTTTTTATGGAATTAGTTTCAGGCGTATGAAAAGTACGTCGTAGTTGTCATGCTCAGGGATACAGACTCATATATATATATATATATATATAATCTTAGAATTAATTTTATATTAACTCAGCATAAAATTTAGACAAAAAGCTTATTGTATTTGTTTTTAGGCGCCATTATTCTGGCGCCGCTGCCAGAGTGTTTTCGCGCCTAAACACGGATACTGGATTTTTTGCTCTTTGTTTATTCTGTCTGATTTATTTAACTTTAAAAGAAATAATTTGTAGTGGTCAATTGACTATTTCAACGCTGAAAAGTGTCATACGAGCGGTATAAGATTTAACTGGTTCTCTGCGCTAACCAATAGAAATCCCAAATGGCTGACATGTCTAAAATTAAGCAGATCTATTCTTTTTCTCAAAAATAATGCGAGAACGTGGAACACTTTTTGCATAATAATTGAGAAAAGCCTGAATCATAGTTTTCCCACCAATTGTAATGGAAATGTACTTGAGTGCAAACAACAGACGTAAATTTAGCGCGAAATACCTCTAAATATTTATCTACCTTCTCTTAGTGTTTTCACTGACATTTTTTCCCACAGTGTATGCGCGCATTCTGTTTTTCCAGTTCAAGTGTGTCGAGACAACCTGATTTCTTCGAGAAAAGTGGGCAGATTCTACAAGAAAAACGCTGTAGCACTTAAAGATAAGAACATCTTTTTTTCGTGGGATCTTTCTTGCATCGAAAGGAGACTTCTTTTATGAATAGGATGTGATAGTAAAGTACATTCATATTATTATGGCGTAGTTTTCATCCACACTACAGATCCCTTTATTCTATAATCGTGCATTCTATATAATCGTTGTTTGTATGTAACTTCTGACACTTGGCTTCGGGCTCAACACAAACGTAAGTGGATCATTTGGTGGTCATTTTTCATCACAGAAAATTATACTGGTTATGTGTTTGATAATGCAATACAAACCGTTGCTAATCGATGTGAGGTTGGGTCTGTAGTATTAATGCAAGATCGAAACAAGAAAGGATCGATTTGTTGGTAGATTATTCGAAGCTGGATTTGCGGTTATCTATGAATTTCACATTTCCAAAGGGCGCATCCTAACGAATGACCAATATGTGCCTTCAAGCATGACTGTTGATTTACCGCAATGTATGATTAATACGTACTATGCTATTTTATTAACAAAATAAACTGATTAGGCACGGTTATATTTAAATTGAACCATATCTTTAGATCCAAACCAAAACGAATTTTGAACCAAATAATTCTAGGCTTTGCAGATTGTATAGCAAACATTTCTGATCAAGATAAGCCTTATCATTCTTGCTCTAGCAAATGCATTTATCAAGAGTTATAAGTGTTTTTTCAAAAGCCCCGAAAATCATTACCATTCACTAGCGTCATCGTATGTCACGACGGGACACTTCTTCCGGCGACGATCACTGTCGCAAATTTTTCTTTTCGTAGAAAGCAGCTGCAGAACTCCGACTGATTTTATTTTGTGAATAAATGTTAGGGAATAGATCAATAGACTCCGATTTCGAGGTTGGCTTCGGGATATAGCAAAAGTACCTTTAAAAACACTTTGAAGAGGACTTATTCCAGTTCGAAAAATGATTTGTGTAAATGATACAAGAAATGAAGAACTTAAAAATCGAAGTCTGTTGTTCCATTGCTCCAACATTTATGCACAAAATAAAATCAATTATTTTACAATGTGCTTTAATAAAAATTCTCGAATTGTTAGAGCAGAAAGACAGTGAATCAAAACCTAAAAAATGCTATCATCACCATCAAACGAGCAACTTTAACATTCAATGATACATGCTTATTAAATCTTAGAATAAAAGTGCACAAAAGCGAGATATATTTCTCCGGCATAACCATATCCTTCAGAAAAGGGAACGGTGAAATAGGTCTGAGTATACTTACAAAAGCGATAGAAAAGTAGAAGTTCTCAAATCTTGATTAAAATTTAATATTTGTCATGAACTGTTAGACTGGTTCGAGTGATGATTGGTCGGAATCATTCACTAGTATCGCATAAACTTGGATAGTGAGATTGTTCCAATCAATAGAACACTTAGCGTTAATGAAAGGACCCACCACGGACTGTTTTCACCATTCGCGCTGTTGTTGATTGTACCCGTACCCGAGAAGTAACACCCTTGCGATGGGCAAGCATTACAGTAGTCAGTATAACAGCATTTGTAGGGTCCAAAGCCATCCTTTAAATTAGAACCGTATTATTTCCCTGGATAATCGTAACTGAATTGATGTTCGTAGAAGCGAAACATCCCAGAGCTCTTTAATAGCCTTTTTACGCTGCTCTGAATTTTGTACGAATACCAGTAGCTTTGATTCGGTAACCAACCTTTTCGTTAGAAGATATTACATTTAGTTCTTGTCAGACTCGAGCATATTTGCGTTTAAAAAGTTCTAAAACCGACCCATTCTGACAAGGTGTTATAATCGCCTTGTTCGAAACTGACAACCCTATTTGTCCTGTATTTTTTTTAAGGCGATATTTAACAGTCGACAAATTCTCTTTCTCTAATTCTACTGAACCATTTTTTCTTACACTTCAGGCAATTCCACTGACCCGGTCAGTATTTATAGAGAAAACGCGTCAACTTTTAGTTAGGTTAGATTTCAATTCGCATTTGTATAGTGGCCATTCTTTTCGTCGGGGTGCCGCTTCTACAGCAGCGGCGGTTGGTATTTCTCAGCACGTTATACAGACACTTGGAAGATGGCTCACTGCATCCTCATTCAGATTGTATGTCGATTTACCAATTAGTACTATTCAGCGCAGACGTACACTTCTTATTGGGTAGGCTGTGGCTAGGATACGAAAAAGTCGTTGGGTAGGGTATGGAGATTCATAGCGTTACCAGTAGGGATCGCCGTGACCAAGGAGTTTTGGTCACGATAACGTCACAGTCATGCGAGATCTGGCCACGGTAATGGTAACGGCCATGACCGCGACTGTGACGTGACCATTTTGACGATCTCTACTTGCTGGATCCTAGAATACGCCGATGATTCTCATATCTTTATTACCATGCTTTTGATTGCTAGAGAGAAAAGAGAGGATTGTTTTCAAAATCGCATACACTTACGCCAATTGTTGTGTCGCAAAGAGATGTACCAGGCCAACCAACAACGAGTGTCTGCGTCACAGTCTTGTCGCCTTCGGTAAAAATATTGGTCTGCTTCTAATAAGAGCAACAGAAACATATAAAAACATTGATTACACTAGAATCTAAATATAGGAAGCATATAGAACTAACGGCGCAAACAACGTAGGGCCAGCCGAACTGCTCTGTTTGCGCTACTGGTGAATTAGGCGACAACAGATTATAATAGCAGATGAGAGCCGATGTTCGACAAAATACTACAAGAATAGAAACACAATCAAAGGATTACGTCTTAAACATATTGAAACTGATGTCTTACCAAGTACGAGGACAGCAAAAACAGTTAATAGCAGAGTTGCCATCTTTTGCACGTCTAGAAAAAAGATCTTTTAAGGTAAATCCAGAGGTAGACAATCACCAAAAGAACACCAGCTGGCTTGATCTCAATAATATATCTTGTTTATTATACAAAAAAGGGTAACAATACAACACTTACTGTGACTTTTTCGTATCCTAGCCACAGCCTACCCAATAAGAAGTGTACGTCTGCGCTGAATAGTACTAATTGGTAAATCGACATACAATCTGAATGAGGATGCAGTGAGCCATCTTCCAAGTGTCTGTATAACGTGCTGAGAAATACCAACCGCCGCTGCTGTAGAAGCGGCACCCCGACGAAAAGAATGGCCACTATACAAATGCGAATTGAAATCTAACCTAACTAAAAGTTGACGCGTTTTCTCTATAAATACTGAGCGGGTCAGTGGAATTGCCTGAAGTGTAAGAAAAAATGGTTCAGTAGAATTAGAGAAAGAGAATTTGTCGACTGTTAAATATCGCCTTAAAAAAAATACACGACAAAATTTTTTTTGAGGAACAGTTTTACAAAGTCCTCAACTAGTGTCTGATAGAAAAAAATGACTTTGAAAGCACAGACTGATGTACAAAAGAGATCGATTCATATCTTAGAGAAACAAGTTTCCTCCTCTCTTTCGTAAATAATATGTTTTGTGCATCATTCAACTTACAAGCAGTACCATCTCTAGACAACTTCTGTCATTTTGAGATATCAAATACGAGACTTGCAAGAAATGAACCGGTATATTTGAAACTTCCTCCAGATAGATGTGTTTTATACGCTTCTAGATATCCTCAAATATCTTCAGATTTCTTGTTTTTCTAATCATATATCCATTAATGACAATTTACTGGCGTACACAGACACGCAAGAGAGCGGACCTTTTTCGTTCTGTTTCTTTTTTTGTTGTGTCAGAAATGAAAGAGAAATGTGAGGCATGTGCAGAAGAGAAAAGCAAAGAAGATATCTTTTAATTGATACGGCTCTAATACGAACGAAAAGTGAATAAAAAAAGACTTGACGCCTGACGATTCTCAAACAAATATGATGGCCTTACTTGTCCAACATATTACAGATGAAGCAAATAAAACCCGTGAATGTCACGAAACATTTATGGAAGAAATGAGCAAGCGAGATGAAGCGCAGAAGCAGAAGATTCAATTACTGGAAGAACGCATGGCAGCTATGACACGTCAAAATTCTCAGTTAAAGCAAGACTACGGGATGACATCGAAACAACTGGATGAGAAAAATGCCGAACTACATGAAGTGATAAAAAAGCAATCTGCAGTCTTGTTGTCAATGTGGTCTTATTTTTGTGCTTCCGCAACAGCCTCTCCACAGAGAGAGCAAGAGAGAGCGATAACTCAAGGAAATGTAAATCAATTAATGGAATGGTGTCATAAAAATGGTGTTCTTGGTAGTTCAACAATATGGAATACAGGGACTTAAACATGAATATTGATAGAGAGAGAAATGACAAATCATGCGTTGGAGACACAATTGTAAATAATGCAAAAAGAACTCTATCGGTATATGAATATAAACTATTTCAAACAATTGTAGATGAATGGGATAACGAATTAAATGTTGATTCGTGCCTTCTAAGATGGGAAATATACGGACAACGGAAAGCAAAGTGCAAAGAGGCATATCTATATATCCTATGCTTCAATGTACGCGGGCTCGAGCAGAGGTGGGGTGAAGTAGTATTAATGGCAGAATCAAAGAATTTTGATATATTAGTACTTGGTGAAGTGGGCAAGTTTGATACGAGAACAATTAACCATGCATTACCTGAATTCAAGTTATTCTATCAAGAAGGTGAAAATGCCTCTGGAGGTGTTTTGATATTGGTGAGAGATCGCATTCGAGTATCCCGCATTCCTTGTGTGTTACCCAATATATGTGTATTGGATATACATATGAATGAGGTTGTTCGATTAATTGGGATGTATGCACCTGCGAGCAAAACATGGGATTGGGATGATTTGTCGCCATTCACATCGAATACATGTATGTTAATGGGGGATTTCAATGTCGACCTTGATCAAGATGGCGAAAAAGCTGAACGTTTACTCGAATGGGCTGATAGTAGATCGTTATCTGCTATTACACCTGGATGTTCCACGTCATTGAGGTCTGATCGTGAAATTGATTATGCTATAGTGGCTGGTGTACAAATTGACGTTCAAACGTATGAGAGAAATACAACTAGCGATCACAAGCCGTTATGCTGTATCCTATCTTACGAAGATTCATCAAATAATTTTGGCAGTATAACCCATTGGAATGTACTTTACTGCTGCATGGAATATATGTACAAATATTGGGAGGATCGATGGAGTGACGGAAATTATAATGAGAATTACAATAAATTCAACGAATTTCTTGGTTTGATGGTTGGGCGATGTACTCGATACTTTTCAATAGAAAAAGCACGTGGCGCTATTCCAGCTGATCTGAGAGAAAGACTGTCGTACAGTCGTGCGCTAAGCTTCAAAGCGAAACGTACTGGTGATATACGATTAAGAGCAGAATCTGCGAAAATACGAAACGCAGTGAGAAGCGACCTTCGAATATTTCGTCAAAATCAACTTGCAAAGCAACTAGTCGAAAGACATAAACCTGGTCGTAGCTTCGTTATGTTTTGGAACAAAACAAAGAAGCATTTTCGTAATTGCTCGTCATCTATCCGTGGTTTTATTCTGCCAAATGGAGACCTTGAAAAAGATCCAGTGAAAATGGTTGAACAAGCCGCTGATTATTACGAAGAATTGTTTGCAGAGCCCACGGTTCATCGACCGCATCCCTATGTGGATTTACCACATCATCAATATGATGATTATCAACAAGCAATTTCACTTGTCACATATCCTGATATCATAAAAGTTCTGAAGGGCAGGAAAAAGAAACGATCCTGCGATATCCACGGATTATCACCCTTCATATTGGATAAAATGCCTAAGCACTATTGGAATTTAATTGCTAATTTGTACAATTACTCGTTTCGAACATGTCA